GAGTGGCCTCCCTGCTCTGTGCGCGGAGCAGCCCCGAAGTTTGAATCTCCGCCAGCCAGACCCTGCTGTGCAGAAGCGCTTCGCAGTGAGGCGTCTTGTATTTTAGCTGCCCGTGCGGCTGGGAAGAGCACGGCCGGGTGGAGCGGGATGCTGCAGCTTCCCCTGAGCTGCGCTGTCTCTGACGGGTCATCTCCACCCGCTGGTGCAGGGCTGCCCATATGGGAATCGGGGAAAAGCCTCGCAAGATGGCTGAAGCCTTGCAGGGGCTTATAGCTGCAGGGGACAATTAATGCCTCCTTGCTTTTGGCAGTGCGGGTTTCCCCTGTCCCTTGTCCTGGTGCTGACACTCTCCCAATTCCTCCTCCCGTGAGGAGCTGGTTCATCTCCATTAACTGGCAGAAAACTTTTAACCTCCTCTCCGTGCAGCAGTTTTTCGGCAAAGTGGCCCTGTCCCCTTCTGGGCGCAGCTGCAGGCTTCACTGAGTGGGCCGAGTGTGGAGAAAACAAACTTGACAAAAAAAGTGGATAGCTTTTCCTGGGATCGTCGTGCTGAAACAGCTTGTTGATAGCTCCAAGGAGCATCAGCAGCAGTACAAGAAAGGGGCAAAAACGGGTGGATGGAGGAGGCAGGCCTGCAGCAGCCACAGCAGTTAGATTGGCGTGGGCTGCCAGGAAACCTGAGCCAGATTTTCAGGGCCTTGGGCTTGTTCAGGCTAAAGCAGTTTGGCTCTGTCTCACCAGCTCCTGTGCTGTATAGCTACAGAAGTGGTAAGGCAGGAGATGGAGTTACACATCGGTGCTTGGTGTGGTTTTGCACTTAATGTAGTCAATTCTGAAAGTATCTCCTGCTGTCGAAGCTTTCTTTGAATGAAAGTTAGCCACAGAAGTCTGAAAAACAGAATCCGTGGTGCTCTAGCAAACAGAAATGTTGAAAAGGTGGGAGAGGAGGAGAATATGCTATAAAAGTAATGACTGCCACTAAGAAGAGGTCATAAATTTCCTTCCAGATAGGTTAAAAGACTATCTGTTTAACTGCCTTCTGCTGCAAGTGGAAGAAATAACATTTATTAGTCATTATTTACAAATTGAGTCAAGATGCAGCTGTTTTTACTATTCTAATTGTTTAATATACCCATTGTTTTTCTAGAGATATAATTTGAAGGAATAACAAATTATGCTTTTGGTTTAGGCAAAGAGGAAAAATCTTCTACGCCTCTTTGTGGAGGTGTGAGTTTTCCTTCACTCTTCAGGCATATATTTATGAACTATTTAATAGAAGCAGGCTAAACGAAATAAAGGTCTGAATTCAGAATGTGCTGGTTAAGCTGAAACCAAAGTCATGTTGAAGTGAATGAAGCTGGAGTAAATTTAGCTGCTTTTCTGAAAAAGAATGCTTACAGAAGAGATGGGGTATGCTTTGACATCTCGTATTCGTTTAATTTGATTTATTTAATGAGCTGATCACATAAGCTCAAAGTTCAAATTTTGAGATTACTTATTAACTGTTTTTAATTTGACCTTTATTTGTAGTGGTTTTTTGTTACATGGTTAGAATTTTCCATTTTTCCCTTTTTTTTTTGTCCTTCAAGAAGCTTATGTGCTCTTGTAACTGTTGAGAACACTTTACTGGTGTGTTCCAAACTGATCATGGAAGTGTTCTGGTTTTCTCTTTTTTTTTTTTTTTAAAAACCTTGCTTTATAAACAAATCTTATACAATATTATTATCCTACATAAAAAGATACTGGTTGGCTTCTTTGTGACATGTAATGTCACAGATGTTCAGCTTGGGTTTGGGATTCTGTGTCATTCTCCGTTCTTATGGTTCGTTACTCATTTCCAATGAAATTCCTATGGGTTTAATGTCTTGACCTAAAATGATTTAAGACATTTGATTTCTTCTGTTCATTAGAACATGTCCTGAGAGATTTTTGTAGGTATAAATAATGCTAGCTAAAATTCTCTGGGTTTTTTGAGTGATAATTCATGGAAAAATACTTCATATTTGCATTTTACTCAAAATTTTTCATGTACCGTACTTGCAAAAACATGTATTGCTCTACTGAGGTCTATAAAACTTAGGCCATCTTCAAAGACAAACCATTTTATCTGAGACTTGCTTCTTTTACACATGTTCAGACATAAGAGGATCACTACAGTTGAAACAGCTTAAAATAGGACTGACTTACAGTGGAAAGATTTTAGCAGGTCTACAGTGAGAACTTCTGTTTTCTTCATGTACAAGTTTAGAAAATATACAAGGATTTGCAGAAGTGTAGTTTCTCTAGCAGGTGTAAGGAGTCCAGCCTGGAGGAAGAGTCTGAGAGGAGAATTTTGAACTCAAAAGGAAGGTCCAGCTGTACTACTCTGGCACTAATCACACAGGGAGCTCTGTTTAGGAAGTTATCTTCTCCAGCTTCTGGAACATCCCTTGCCTGATTGGATAGGTGCTACAAGTGAAAATTAAAAATAAATTAAAAAAAAAAAAAGGGGGGGGGTGGGGGAAGAAAGTATCTATGGGGAAACTATGGAAGTGAGAAAACAGACAAAGCAGGCTGAAAATGCTCAGAGTAAAAAAGTTCCAGGTAAAACGTTAGCAAGAAAAATGTTGCCTGTTTCAGTTGCTTCTTTTGAAGTTTCTCCATATGACTTTATAAAAAGAATTGCTTCTAATAAAAGCTAGCACAAGCTGCTCTGAATCTTACAGATCTAAAATATATGTAGAATTGTAAGATTGCTGTGAAAAGACTTAAAATAAGCATATATTTAAGACCCTGTTAAAACTATACAGAATAACTACTGTGTTCTTCTCACAGTAACAGTATTAACAGAGAGCAAATTATTTTAAGTAACAGTTGCCTGTATGAGTTGCCTTATTAATTTGTCCTGTATTAATTTGCCTTAATTTTACAAAGACCTGTGACAACATTAATCGGGGAGAAATAGACTCTATAGGAAATGTCAGGGGGAGGGAGGGGAATCAGCCACTTCTGCTAGCTAGGTTGCAACTTTTTTACTTCAACCGATGGCTCTATTTAAGTACTTTGAATGAGATGCTGCAATGCTGACAGTGTTTCTAATGAGTCGCTAACACTGGCCTTCCCAGGAATAATAGAGTGGTTGTCAGAAACAAACACTAAATATGCTTGAAAAGCCACTATGCTGTCATAGAAATACATAACTGAGTAAAGTACACATATGCGCTTCAGGTGTATACTTTTGTTTGAAGTAGAACTACTCCTTTTGCTCCTGTACTTTATCAGTCTCTAGAAGATTGCACAGGAACCAGTAATACTCTCAGCAGAACACCTAGTGAGCTTCTACCATGTCACTAAGCATGTCATGAGCAGAACAAAATGCTTCTGTAAATTGTATGTGCTGTTTAAAATATTTTCCAAGAAAAACGAACAAAACTAACCTCAGTAAAAAACCCCCACAGTTTAAGGCTGCAAATGTGTTATTGTATTTAAGTGAGTAACATGTCACTTATTTCTGAAATATCAAGTTTGTTTCCTTTTAGCCCGCAAATTCACAGACAAGCATGAATGGATATCTGTTGAAAATGGCATTGGAACAGTAGGAATCAGCAATTTTGCACAGGTATTGATCTCTCCCCCCTTACCCATGTCTGCAATATTTATTTATGCGTACCTGCTCTTGTCCTTGCTCTTTGGACAGTTACTGGGTTTTATTGTTCTAATTACATATGCTACACACTGAGTGCGATTTTTGGACTTGGATCTATCACATTATTTGTGAAGTGAATGCTGCTTCAGCATTCTGAAAAATTCTTAATCACTTCAGATTGAGCCTATGGAGAGCTGAACTTGATG